TCATTGAAACTAATAAAATTTAATAATAATAAAAAATATTTATGCGTTTCATTTCTTCCTTAACAATATCTAATTTTCCTACATTCATGGTTCTCACATTCCATGTTACAGTCACTAGTGTCTGCTTACAACTGTTCCTTTTCCTTTGTATTTTCATACTTGAAAGCTCTACCTCAGTTGCCCTATCTGTTAGTCTACGTGTGTTCTGTTGTACATAGGAGTTTCAGAGGCCTGCTATTTTGGAAGTGGATGGCCAGTCCTCCTTCCTAGTCTGTTTTAATCTGAATGCTCAGATTTAGAGAAGTATTTGACAGACAAGCATTTTACAGGAAAAAAAAAAGTGAAAGATATATCCCTAATTGTGGAATTAACCATTAATTTTAGTGTTGTCCCTGCCCTTGGCACAAGTGTCTTGACCCACTTATGCTCCACCATCCACCAGGATACCTATCCACTTCTACCCACTCCCTTGAACACCTATCTCCCATTGCCTAGCCCTTGATCTGATAGCTTATATCTGCAGCTTTCTTGGCTTCTGTGATTCCAAACACGTTAGCTGCTGACAGTTTCTTGTACTGTGACCAGTGTCTCTTAAGTTTAGTGGTAATGTTTCCCTAGTGAAGGTGATGTGTCCTGTAGAACTGGTGTATAGATTGTAGACCGAGGGCCCCAACAATTTCCTTGCTGCCTGAGCTCTTCTTGTTTACCTGTGGGGCAGGGATTTCTGAAGACCCTTTGTGCTTGCCTGTTTGTCTGCCTGTGAAGATTCCTGTCCCTCTCCCTCTACGTGTCCTGCAATTTCCTTGCTCTGTAGACTAGGGTGCAACTGATACAGGCCATGGTCTTTGCATTCACTTGTTATGTGTCAGAGAGTTGGACAGTGACTAGGGAGGATAGAGGAAGAATTGATGCTTTGAGCTGTGGTGCTGGAGAAGAGTATTGAATATACCAAGGACTGCTAAGAAACTGAACAGGTTTGTCCTAGAGAGGGTTAACCAGGCTGGTCCTTCGAGGCAAGGATTCTGAAGCTTTGTTTGACATTTGGATATGTTGCAAGGAGAGACCAGTCCTTGGAGAGGGATGTCATGCTTGTGAGGGTAGAGGGGGCTGCGCAGGAGAGGAAGACCATCTGTGAGGTGGATTGATTCAGTGACGGGGGTAATCGTGATGGGTGTGTCGGAGACGGTGCGATTAGAACAGGACAGAGCAGTGTTTAGGGATGTTGTACATAGGGTCGCCATGAGTTGCAAGCGACTTGACGACACATAACAACAACCAGGTACCACCTCTTTTAAATCCAGCCTGCACATCTGGCAGTTCTCTGTTGACGTCTTGCTCCAATTGGTTTTGGATAATTTTCAGCCGAATCTTGCTTGCATGCAATATTAATGATACTTTTCAATAATTTGCACACTCTGGCAGGTCACCTTTCTTTGGAATGGGAACATATATAGATCTCTTCCAGTAAGTTGTCCAGCTGGCTGTCCTCCAGATTTCTTGGCACTACTTAGCACATCCAGGGCAGCGTCTGTTGAAATATGTCAATTGATATGCTATCAACTCCTGGAGCCTTGTTTTTTTTGCCAATTCCTTCAGAGCAACTTGAACTTCCTCCTTCATTACCACATGCTCTGGCTTTGATGTTATTTCATAAAATTCTTCTATGTCAACAACAATTCCTTCTGATACAGTGACTCTTTGTACTCTTTCCATCTTCTTTTAATGCTTCCTGGATCATTTAACAGTCTACTCAAAGTATCCTTACGTATTGCCCCCTGGGTCTTGAATTGCCTCATACAGTTTCTAAAACTCTAGATTTCTAGTTTGAGTAAAAACTTTTTCTGTCCTGGTCTTCCAATTTAGTTTTTAATATTTAAAAATTTGAAGGTTATTTAGAGAATTAAGGTCCTATTCATATTTCTATTTCTAATACCATTTATTCGCTGGTTTTTTTTATGATGTTACATACAGTAGATTTTTAAATTTAATATACTTGGATGTAACATTGCAGTCTCTTGTGAGAAACAGGAAAGGTTCATTCTATGTAGTAGTTAATTTTGTTAAGGTAAAGTCCTTGTGCTGGATTAATTTAGTCTCATGGGAGTCTTGCAAAAACCTAACATCTACACCTCTTTGTATTTAGTTTTCTTTTCTTGTTCATTGATCTTAAATTATTAAGAAATGTGTTTCTTTGCAACAAAGGACTCCTGTTTGAAAACCGATCTTGGAAATCGAGCAAGAAAACTCTGTGGACAGAGCTGTTTTTTATGTGGAAGGGGGAAAAAGCCTTATTGTTGGTGTGGTCTTCTATTAATATAATGATTGAGGGTTTCAAAGGATTATGTTCTTTTTCAGTTTACTTCCTTTTGTTTTTAGCAATGTTATTGAAGTATCAAATGCCTAGTTTCCAAACTAGTATGGTTTTAAATAGTAATTTTAAACTAAACACAAAACTGGTGAGGGTTTGCCATTGTTTTATTTTTCAGTAAAGACTAGAGAAACAAAATATTCACCATCTACTATTAACACACAATTAAGGGGCTCTGGTGGCCTACTGGTAAGGAGAGGCATTGCTATACCAAAAGACATGTAATTTAAATCAGCCAGCTACCTCATCTGAGAAATATGAGCAGCCTTTTCCCATGTGATTTACTTCCTCTGAAAAGCCACTGGAGGGTCAAATCAGAATCATTTCCAACTCTATTGTATACAACAACAGCAGTATATAATTGAAAGGCTCTAGTGGCATAGTTGAGGAGCTTTGATTGACATACTGTGTTAGCTGTTACACTGTTAAATGAAAGGTCAGTTGCTCAAATCCACCAGGTGCTCCTGAATGAGAAAGATGGATAGCTTTCTACCATAAACATACACAGCTTTGGAAACTGAATGGAAACACATTAAGAATTGGAGTTGACTGAATGGTAGTGACTTTATGGTTTGGGGTGACATACTGTGTTTCTTTTTATAAAACTGACAGTCTCTGAAACCTCGTGGAGGGTCAGCATGAGTTAAAATTAATTCCATGATAGTGGGTTTGGTTTAGGGGTTGTTGATGTAGTAGGTTAAGTGTTGGGCTGCTAATTGAAATGTTGCAAGTTCAAACCCATCAGCTACTCCTTCCAAGAAAGCTGAGGTTATCTCCTCCATTTAAAATATATAGCCTTTGGGAATCCTATGGAGGATTACTCTAAGTTGGAATTGCAATGAGTTATGTTTTTGAGAGCTCATAATTTCATATAGGGAGCTTTGGTAGCTTAATGGTAAGGAATTATTCTACCAACTCAAAGGTGCATGGTAGAATTCAACAGTTGCTCCTAGGGAGAAACATGGGAAATCTCCCTTGCAATCTTTTGCCCCTGAGAATCTACTGGTGGGTCAGCTATGATGAGTTGGTTCCAACTTGATGGTACATAAAAACAACAGTTATTTTATGTAAGAAAAGAGACTAAACCAATTTGGACATTAAATATTTTGCCCTTATGTAAAATGTACTAGCTATCCTTACATATATTGCTATGTACTTGTAGAAGCATCTTCATGATAGTTTTAAAATTTGGAAATATTTAAATATTTCTTGATGCTTGGCTTGTGAGTGTGGAAGATCTAGTCTGTTATATTGTCATGACATTTTATTCTGCTTCTGGGCCAAAATGCCTTTGTATTTATTGCTTTTTTTTTTTTTTAATATATTTTGTTTCGTATTCTGGGGCTGCCATTGCCTCACTGCAGAGCATTTTTTTATATGCTCATCGATTTTTTTTCTCCCCCAAAGAGATTTAAAAATATTTATTAAGTTTTAAGTAGATAACTGAATCCTTAGGAAATTTTACTTGAGATTTTAATAACCTATAAATTAACTTGAACATTTGATTTTTTTTTACAGTATGTATTTTCCCCATTGTAGAGTTTAAAATAACTCTATTAATTTATTTTAAAAATAAAACCATTTATCAAATATTTAAATGCAAACTAGTAAAACATTTCCTAGTGTAATGTATTTTTCCTGTAGTGTTTGAAGGTAATATTGCATTTTATAGTGTCACGTATATTTATGATATATTAAAAAATTTTACTTTTTCAGCATGGAAAAAATCTCTAGAAATTTCATATTTTACTGTTACACATTTCTAGGCATTTTCTTGATTCCTAGATTATTCTGGATACAGTTAAAAAAGTAGCATATACATAATGCTGAGTGTGACCTTGGGGAACTTGGACTAAAACGTGAATGATGGATCTCATTTCTGATATGAAGCTCATTAGAACTTCTATGTCATGTTTCAGAATAAATTTCTATTGTTTCAGCAGTAACTATTAGAATCTAGGGCAATGCTGTGAGTAGACTTAATATATTTAAATGTAATCCTTTTCAAATAAGATTGCTTTTGTTGAAGTAATAATTTTTTTTTCTGACAGAGATCTATTAGATCTTTTGCCAATGATGATCGCCATGTAATGGTGAAACATTCAACAATTTACCCATCTCCGGAGGAACTTGAAGCCGTTCAGAATATGGTGTCTACTGTTGAATGTGCTCTTAAACATGTCTCAGACTGGCTGGATGAGACAAACAAAGGCACGAAACCAGAGGGCGAGACAGAAGTGAAGAAAGATGAGGCTGTAGAAAACTATTCCAAGTGAGTATGACCTGACCTTTGTGATGCTTTACTGTCTTATCTAACAGAAGAGCATAAGGGGACTGGATTAGATTTGTTACTTTGTTAATTTTTTTGTCTATAACCAGGAATGAATGATCCTTCCTGAGATAAGTTGAAAGGAAAACAAGAAAGGGATGATGAGTTTAATGATGAGGAAAATAAGAAGGATCCCTCTTTGTAATAATATACTAAGCCCTTTAAAATTTTCTTATTTGAAGATTATTATATATATCTTTTTAAAATGCTGTTTCTTAAACTTAAACTCATTGCCTTTCAGGCAGAAACAGTTCATACCTGACCCTCCAGCAGTTTGTCATAGACTATACATTGTGTCTGAGGAGAGTGCCCATCTTTCTCCCACAGACCCATCCATTGGTGGATTCAAACTGCCAGACAGACAGTTAACAAGCACATTTTGCATTAACAAGCACATTCCCTATGGACTAGGCCACCCCAGGTCCTGGATGCTATTTGTGCTGTCAAGTCTATTGAGACTCATAGTGACCCTATGAACAGTGGATCTGAACCCTGCTTTATCTTGTCCCATCTTCACCATTTCTGAAATACTTGAGTCCATGTATGCTGTCTACTTTCCTAAATTTTGAAATAAAAAATAATTTAAAAATCTAGATGTTTAAAAAATTTGGTACAGAAGAGATAGAGTGCAGGAAAATCTATTTTAGAGGGAGAACATGCAATAAACTCGGAGTATACTTCTAACTGCTTTTGGCCAAGGTCATTTAGAAAAAGTGGTTATTGAATATTAACTCTAATACTTTGGAATTGTTTTGATGGCACACTAGCATAACATCATTCTTTATGTATAAGATATTTAATGGGAAATGATAGACAACTAATGTGACAGCTGAGGAGTGTTTGGGAATATTATTCTGATCCCTGTAGATGGCAGAGTTTATTTGTTAAGACCATTGAAGAGGTACTTGTTGAGGTCATCTCAGTAACAACTCATTATTATTAAGTCAGAATCAACTCATAGCTGACCCTCCAATGAGTTTTCAGACTGTAAATAATATATAGGGCATATTATAGCTAATGTTAGAGATGGATCTTGACTGAAAGCAGGGAGTACCAGAGGAATGTCTGTTTCATTGTCTATTCAAAGGCATTTGACTGTGTGGATCACAACAAACTGTGGCTGACCCTGAGAAGGGGAACCCCAGAACACTTGATTGTGCTTATGCGGAACCTATACTTGGGCCAGCAAGGAAATACTGCATGGTTAAAAATCGGGAAGGGTGTACGACATAGCTATGTCCTATCTCCATACCTTTTCAATCTATATGCAGAACAGATTATCCAGGAGGCTGGACTCTTATGAGGAGAAGTGTGGCATCAGGATTGGAGGTGGACTTAACAATCTGCATTGTGCAGATGATACAACCTGCTTGCTGAAACTGAGGATTACCTGAAGTGCTTTCTGCAGAAGGTCAAAGAAGCTCAACATCAAGAAAACAGTGATTCTTGCCTAACCTCACCAGAAATTCACCTGTCCCCAGTGAGCTCGGAGGAGTTGACTGTCGCTGTCATGGTTCACCGGCTAAATTGCGTTGTCACTATGTCCCAGAATATGGGCATTAGCAAGGACAGAATCCTACCCTGGCCCCTGCTCAGGAATGAGTTCAAGTATTTCCAGAGAATGACCATGACCACAACCTCCTCAGTAGAAGTGAAACAGAATTTGGTGATTTTGGGGAGGAAGCCTGGTTCTCCATCCCTGAGAAGAATAGATCTTTGAAAGACAGGATTAATACTAGTCCTCAGTAGAGAACTCAAAGAACTCCCCACAAGGAGCTAATTTTCTTGCTAAAAGTCTGGATGATGCCTTAAAACTTAGTGAGCAACCAGAATTAGGAAATAAAGTGGACATGGTTTGGATAGTAGGAGGCAGGTGGGTTTACCAGGAAGCCACGAATCAACCAGGCCATCTTAGACTGTTTGTGACATGGATAATGCAGGAATTTGAAAGTGACATGTTTTTTCCTGAAATTGACTTACAGAAATACAGACTTCTTCCAGAGTATCCAGGTGTTGCTTCTGATATTCAGGAAGAAAAAGGCATTAAGTATAAATTTGAAGTATATGAAAGGAAGGATTAATATGAAGACATTTTCTGTTTATTTCAAGTTTGTCTCCTCTTCAAAACATTATGTATTAACAATAGGAAAAAAACTTTGTTGACTTAAAAAAAACAAAACAAAACAAAGATTCTCACCACTGAGCTTATTGGCTGCATCATGATAGATGGTGAAGAGATTGAGATTGTTCACAACATCAGTTTGCTTGGCTCTACAATCAACACTCTTGGTACCAGCAACCAGGAGATCAGGAGACTAATTGCATTGGGAATGTCTGCTGTCTGAGACCTCTCTGAAGTACTGAAGAGCAATGATGTCAGTCTGGAGAAAAAGGTGTCCTGATCCAGGCCATAGTCTTTGCAGTTACTTGCTATACATCAGAAAGCTGGACAATGACTAGGGATGATAGAAGGAGAATTGATGCCTTTGACCTGTGGTGCTGGAGAAGAGTATTGAATATACCATGAACTTCTAGGAGAACAAACAGATTCGTCCTAAAGAGGGTGAAGCCAAGCTGCACCTTGGAGGCAAGGATTCTGAAACTTTATCAGACATACTTTGGATGTGTTGCAAGGAGGGACCAGTCTTTGGAGAGGGATGTCATGCTTGGGAGGGTGGAGGTGACAGTGCAAGAGAGGAAGACTCAGGATGAGATGGATTGATTCAGAGGCTGGAGTAATGGGGATAGGTGTATCAGAGACACTAAGATTGGCACAGGATAGAGCAGGGTTTAGGGCTGTTGTACATAGAGTTGCTATGAGTTGCAGGCACATAACTACAAATCAAATAGGAGAAGATTGTCTTATCTTTGTCCTGCAGAGCAGTTGATTTATTCACACTTTGGTTTTACAAAACAACTCCTTATCCACCAGGCAACCAGAGCTTCCTGGATGAGAAATAACAGTGCCTGAAAAGAAACTACTTTAAAAGGCAGTGATTGAGGGCAGTTGTGGAGGAGTGATTTGATTTAGAAACGATTAGATTTGAAAAAAGCTCTGATGGCAAAAGAATTAAGTACTTGTCTGATACCTGCTTTCTTAAAATTTACAGCCTAGAAAATCCCATGAGTTGGTTTTGCATTGTCACAAAAATCACCTCAAAGGCAGCTAATAACAGCAAATTGAATTTGGTTAGGTGAGAGGATGAGTGGACAAGAAATAAGAATGAAAAGAATGAAAAAGTTGCGGGCTTCATTCTTGAAATGAAATTATTCCTTAAAATTGGGCCACTTCTTTTAAAATTCTTTTTGTTACATTTTTATCACTTTATAATTTTGGGTCCCCCCCCCCAATAATTTAATCTTTATTGATTCCCTAAGGTGGTGGCAGTGGTGGTTATGTGCCATCAACTCCGACTCATAGCAACTCATATGTACAACAGCTCTGAACCCTGCTTTATTTGAGCCAATTTAGTTGTCTTTGACACACTTACCTCATTATCCCGTCCTGGGTCTTCCTCTTTTGTGCTGTCCTTCTACCCTTCCAAGCATGATGTCCCTCTCCAAGGATTAGTCCCTCCTTGCAACATGCGCAAAGTATGTCAGACGCAACTTCATAATTCTTGCCTCCAAGGAGCAGCCTGGTTTCACTCTCTCTAGTAGAGACCTGTTTGTTCTCTTGACATTCCATGAGTATATTCGGTACTCCTCACCAGCATCATAGCTCAAAGTCATTGATTCTTCTTTTATCATCCATAGTCATTGTCCAGCTGTCTGAAGCATAGCAAGTAATTGTGAAAACCATGGCCTGGATCAGGCGCATCATAGTCTCTACACTGACATGCTTGCACTTCAGTACTCTGGAGATGTCCCTGACAGCAGATTTTCCTAATGCAATTTGTGTTTTGATTTCCTTACTGCTGGTAACCGAGAGTGTTCGCCAGATAATAAGAAGCCATGGCCATATTATATCTAATTTCTTGTTTTTTCTCCCTTATCCATTTTATTCTCAGCTCTACTGGCTTTTTGTGTTATAGAATGGCTCTTTAAAATATAAACAAATCTAGACTGGGCTTAAGTACTTACTACCTTACGTTGATTTTCATGACCTACTTCTTCTGAGCTTCCTCAAGCAACCTTAGGATGTTAAAAGACCTCAGTATTGTAGTGAGAAAAATAGTTTTGAGTGTAGGCTTTGTCATTGTCTTTATTAACTGGAATTTCATTGAGATTTTCCCAGATTCTCATTTCTTGTCTTTCAAACGTGGCAGTATTTTAAATATGTAATATACAGTCTTTTTTTAGGTTTTACTGTCTTCTCTTCATCTGTAAGTAATTTGTTAACTACAATACACAATGTTTAAATCTTTGAACTGCCTAGATCTCTTTTATTATTGTTTCTCTTGCTTACTGTTTGAATGAATGCCAAATTCATTTAACATTTTCACTTGTGACTGACGAAAGGTAACCAGTAAGAAATTTTTAGAATTAACGATTTATAACAGTTTTTTTGTGAACCATTCATTACTTGACGTTGAATATTTGTTCTTTTAAATACTCCTGGATTTGGAATAGATATATATATTGGCAGCTTATTTTTAGTCTGCTCTTTCCTTTCTACTTTAGCTCTTATTTTTACCACATTCTTCTGCTCTCCACATCAGCTTTTTTGGATTCCTAGAATGATGCAATCATTTTATTGTCTTGAATAATGAGCTAGCAGGCATCAACAGGAGTAGAAGAGAAGTCTTTTAGATTTCCGCTTTGATTCCCATTCTTAGGTATGTCAGGGCATTTATATTTCTCATTAAGTCTTTACTCACTACTTAATAATAAGGGAAGGAAATTGTTTTGAATCAAATGTTTCTAGTCTTCTTAGTCAATATAGACTCAAAATAATTTACTCTGAATTGTGCTCACTAACTGATGCTTTGGGGAAGATAGATACTTAATGAGTCTTAAATTGAAGTCTTAATTTTGTGTATTTTTTATACTATGATTTTCATACTCCTTTATCACCTTAACGAAATACCTAAGAAGTCACTATTTGTGTTTTAAGTGGCTTTGTAAAATTGTTTTTCATACAATCATATATAAGTTTTCATAAAATTAATTACTGTTGGCTAATGCATTTTATTGCCATCTCTCTTCAAATCCTCATTGTATCTTGCCTGTTCCTTCACCCCACCCATCTCATCGGTCAGCTAATTTTTGCTGCCCCAGTGTTTTATCTCCCCCCAACCTTCTTCCCCTGCCTTTCTCCCCTTCTGCATCCCCTTTGGACCATTACATACGTCTAAATCCAAGATGCTAATTGCAATAACCATATTGTCCTTCTGTCAGTTCTTCTTAGGTAGATCCTCCTTTCTCATGATCCTGTACAGTGGTTATTGTCCATACATTCAGTTTCTGCTCTTCTGTCCTATCCTCTCTCTTGTTACCCTCCTCTTTTCTCTGTAGTGGTCTTATATGATATATCCTCTCCATAATATCCTCTGGACTTGCCCATGTTGTGTAATGTAGCATTTTATGAATCCTTTGTTGTTCTTTAATATTGTGTAGTAGTCTGTCATTACATAAATATGCCACAAATTATCTGTTAGTTTCTTGGGCATTTGGGAGGTTTCTATTTTCTTGATAATATGAATAATGCTGCAGGTTTTGTTAGTAGTGATAATTAAATTATAGTTTGGGAAAATAGGTTGTAAAAATAATAATAATTTAGAACTTTTTTTTTTTTTTTTTTAGAGATCAAGGTGGTCGGACATTGTGTGGTGTAATGAGAATTGGCCTGGTGGCAAAAGGCTTGCTGATTAAAGATGATATGGACTTGGAGTTGGTTTTAATGTGCAAAGACAAACCCACAGAAACCCTATTAAATACAGTCAAAGACAACCTTCCTATTCAGATTCAGGTGAGTACAGTTTAATTGCACTTACAGGAAAACTTACAAAAAGTTAAAATAAGGAGTGGCTTTGATGAATTCAGTAAAAAGACATTGATAATGGTAAAGGATAGATACATAAAAAAGGAGAATGCCACTATTATCAGTGAGTAATCCAGGAGATTTAAAACAGATTTCTGATGATTTATCTTCAGGATCTATTTACCAAATTAAGATAGCTTTAAAGGTATAGTTTTAAACTTCTCAGTTCTATCTGAGAATGTTCCCATTTTTCTTGAGACTATGCCAGCATTATATTATAAAACTTTTGGATGGGTTGATGTAATACATAAAGGAATTAAAGGATTGAAAAGAGCCTAGACAATTAGAGAACTTTATAGATGATGATTTTTAAAATTGAAAATTAATTTAATAGTTATGTCATCTCTTCTGTTAATGGCAAGTCAGTATTAAATTCTCTTCCCAAATCTTTTTCACATTGTGATGCATTTAGAAAGTTTAGTGCAGTCCTGCTCCCTGGAAGATGCTGCAGAAGGCCGCAAGCTCCTCAGTGCTAAAGGCAGTTCGTCTTAGACTCTGGTTACTAGGACCTCCTTGTCAGCCTGGTCTAAGGGTCATTTGGATTACTGATTGGGAATCTGTGACCATTTATCACTTTCAGATGCATGTTAATGATCATATATCTGTATTACAACTTCTCTACAAGTTTTTTTACAAGTTTTTTTCCATTTTATATTGATTTACTTAGAAGGTTTATATACATTGTATTTCACACTAGATCTTGCTCCTTTCCTTTACCCACCCCACCCTCCACTGATCAAATTCTACAACCCTATGATTAAGTTCCTTCCCGCCCCGCCCATCCTCACATCTCCACTCCCCTCTTCCCTCCTTGGATCCTCATACTCATTCTACAATAATGGTCATAAACAATATTTGTCTTTATGAGCCTTAGTTTACTTAGCATAATGCTCTCCAGTTCCTACCAAGTTAGGTAGTAATTTACAAAATCCTTACCCTTGTGTGTTGCGTAGTATTCCATAATGTCTCAATCCATTCCATTGTTGTTGGACATTTGGGCTGTTTCCATGTTCTTGCTATGGTGAATAATGCTGCTATGAACTTTGCTGTACAGTTCTCTGTGTCTGAGTTCTCATTTTCTCAGGGTATGTTACAAGCAGTGGAATAGCTAGGCCATATGGAATTTCTGTGTTCAGCTTTCTGAGGAAACACCAAACTGCCTTCCAGAATGGTTGTACCATTTTACAATCCCACCAAAAATGTTGTAAGAGTTCCTATCTCGCCACGTCCTCTCCAACATTTAATACTTGCTGCCCTGCTAAACTTTGCTACTGCTACTGGGATAAGATGGTATCTCATTGTGATTTTGATTTGCATCTCTCTTACTGCCAGTGATTTTGAGCATTTTTTCCTTTGTCTGTTGGCCATCCAGATGTCCTTTTTAATGAAGTCTTTCCATGTCCCTTGCCTATTTTGTAATTGGATTATCAGCCTTTTTCTTCTGGTGGCCCACCCAGGAGTATTCTGTAAACTTTTGCTATGAGACCCTTGTCCAGGATGATATTGCCAAATATTTGCTCCCAGGCAGTAGGTTTTCTTTTCACCCCATCGGGAAAAGTCTTGGATGAGCACAGAGATTTAATCTTTAGAAAGTACTCTTCATCAATTTTATCCTCTTCAGACTGTGCATTTCTGGCTGTGTTTGGCAGTCTATTTATACCGTCAGCTAGGCCATCTAGGCTTGATCTCAGTTTGTCTCTTAAGAACTTTATGATTTTGTACTTTATTCCCTGGTCCCTGATAAACCTTGAGTTGATTTTTGTGTATGGTATGAGATGTGGATCCTTTTTTAGCTTTCTGCAGGTAGCAGTCCGGTTTTTCCAACACCATTTGTTGAAGAGGTTGTCATTTTCCCATTTGATAGATTTTATTTCCTTGTCTAATATCAGTTGATACTTTATTTCCTTGTCGAGTATCAGTAGATAGATGGGTCCATTTCTGGGTTCTCAGTTCAGTTCCATTTGTTTATGTGCCTATCGTTGTACCAGTACCATGCTGTTTTGGTACTAAGGCTGTGTAGCAAAATGGCAACCATAAAAACCTGACGTTTCAATAATCACACTTAATGTGAATGGACTAAAATACACCAATCAAGAGAAAAAGAGTAGCGGAATGGATGAAAAAACAAAGCCCATCAATATGTTATCTACAGGAGACACATCCAGTAAATGAAAGATAGATTCAGAATCAAAGGCTGGGGAAAAAATACACCCAAGTAATTGGCATCCATAGAGAAGCAGGGGTGGCTACTAACTTTTCTATAATTTTGTGTCAGTGTTACATTCATGTCACACAAATAGATGTCAGCTCACAGGGTCAAAACTTTGACTTGTTGAATATTCTCATTCTTTTATATTTCTTTTGAAAGGACTGTTCATCCCCAATTATTAGCTTTGATATGACATCATTTACTTTCATGTTCACCAGCTGACCATATTCCTGTTTTTAATCTGTCATTTCTGACACTCAGATTTTAGTTACTTTTTGATACATTCCCCAATATCTTAATTTGGGCATATGCTTTTCTGTTTTCAATTCTGGCAGTGAAAAAGACCAATAGTAGAAATTATGAGACATGCCTTTCAGTTTATCACACCCAAAACCACTGGAGTGATACAAGAATGTAATTGATTTTTTTGTGTGATGGTTAGATCTATTACTATAATATTTTGGTAAAGGTACCTTTTTCTGTAAAATAAAAGTATTATTATACACCCATCTCAGATTAAATTATTTACATATGTATGAACCTTAATAAGCACAGACATTATTTATAGTATTTCTGGAATAAATATCATTAAGTGTAATTTTCACCATCACAATGTCTACCTTGCCCTTGAGTTCCCTTTATGTGGAAACCCATATTATATTATATTATATTATATGGTTGTGCTATATTATTTCTTATGAATGAAAGATCTTTTTTCCTGATCATGTACTAGAACAGAACATTCATTTATAGAATAATTGGTTAAGGCTCTACTGTACCTTTTCTTGCGTGTTATTTTCTAGGGTGATGTTAAAACTTATTGAGCAAAGGAGAAGGTGGGCCAAGAGTAGAAATCACTTATAATTAGCCTGTATTTCTTGCCATATGCCTTTTACGTTGGTTGTATATCTGTTCAACTATGATCTGCATACATAATTGAAATGTTTGTGTGACTCTTTTATAGTGGACCATGTTATTTGAATGACAAAGCATGTACGTTTTCTCTTGTTCTCTGTAGACTAGTTTTGGTTCTCCCATTTTCTGTGTGGCTTTTCCTTTGGTTTCTTCTGTTCAACATTGTTGTTAGATGTTGTGGATTATGATTTATAGCGACCCTGTGAACGATGGGTCTGAACCCTGTCCTCTCCTCTGCCCTCTTTATACTTCCTGCCACACTGGAGCCCATTGAGGCAGTCACTGTGTCAGTCCGTCTGATTCATTAGAATATTCAGTTTTCTCTTTCTTGTACGTTGTTGTTAAGTGCAGTCGAGTTATAGATGACTTATAGCGACCAAAAGATCTGAACAATTGTATAACTTTCGTCATTTATCTAAGTTCATAGGGTTTCCAGAGGCAAGCTATTTCGGAAGTGGATGCCACTCCTGCTTCCAAGCCTGTTTTAATCTGGGATCTTCACCAAACACTGTCCACCATGGGTAACCATTATCACATTTGACACATCAGTGTTGCAGTGTTTAACATCACAGCAAACACGAGTTACCTCTGTCCTTTCTTGTGTAGTTAACTCTTTTTTTGGTGGACGGAGTGGATAGAGCTATGTATTAAGGTGACAGAATAATATTGATGCTTTTATAAATTTAATAAAATTGTTGTTAATACAAGTAACAGTTCTGCTGTTCTAAGGGAAACAGAAAACATAGTGACCTTTACCAGTATATCTTTAGAATTTTCACAGAAGAATTAATGGACAAATTCTGAATTTGCTTTTTCTAATGCCAGCATTTCAGATTAATTGCCAGTGACCTAGATTCATATACTTTATTACAGTTTTACAAACTTTGCCTTATGCGTAGTCTTGTAACTTCTACCCAGAGATTCAGAATCATTCTATTACCCATCAAAATTCTTTTATATTGTTTTTATAGTCACCTCCTTCCCTCATGCCAACCCCCAAGGTTTGGATCCTCCAATTGCTCTGCAGGAGAAGGATAGGCAGTCTTCTTCCACATGATTTACTGCCTCTGAAAAAAGTGCTGGAGGGTCAGCTATGAGTCCATTCCAGCTTGAATCACAGGGCAAACAACAGCACACCTATTAGGTGTAAAACATTTAAAAGACTGACTATATCAAGTTCTGGTAAAGACAGAATAGAAATGGAACTCTCATGTTGGTGAGGATGCAAAATGGTTCAGCCACTTTGGAAAACAAATTGTTTCTTAATTTTTAAACATCACCTATCATATAATCTAGCACTTTGACGCCTAGATATTTAATGAAGAAAAAAAAATTAGAGTTGGCATATATTTGCAACAGCTTTATATGTAAAACCCCAAACGGAGAGTGACCCAAATGTTTGTCACTGTGTGAAAGGATAAACAAATTACAGCACAGTCATACCATGGAGCACTATGTAACAGTAAAAAGTGATGAACTATTGTTGATTCCACACAGCTCCAGGGATGAATCACAGAAGTATGTTAAAGAAGTCAGAATCAAAGAGCTATATAAAATATTATTTGTATAATATTTTCTAAATATCAAAACCATAGAGATGACCTACATAATTTTGTATAGTGTTTAGAATCCATAATATTATAATAATATAATGCTATTTTACTTTGAATTCTTTTAATATACATTGATAGTCAGAAACTAAGTATCTCTGTTCATCCTGGCTGCTTTATGCCATATAATAGATACTAAATTTCACCAACAAGAAGGCCTATTCAATTATGTACTTAATGTACAATAATATGTTAAATATAATTTAATATATGTTATTGGTTGTTTGTTGATTGCTTTCAAGCCAAACACAACTCATAGCGACCCTATGAACAAAAGGCCTGAAACCCCTCTACAACTATTGATATTTATCAAAGTTCATAAAGTTTCCAGAGGCAAGTTGTTATAGGAAGCAGATACCACTCCTGCTTCCAAACATCCCAAGGAACCATGCCAATTCAAGAATCATCTGATGTGTTCCTGTCAAAAGAGGGTACATCCCACTGGGATGGTTTGCTTCCTGAGGGCCAAATGCAGCCAGTAGCTATGGCTGTGACTGGTCAGACAACTCTTCACACACATCAGGCTCAAAATGCACATGTGGTCCCCTCCTCACACCCCACAGTGTGCTGCTCTGCCACTGAGTCCATGCATACTCATCGAGACCAGATATAATGGTGCAGTTGCCTCACAGGGCGTTCCAGATTAGAATATTTACAGGAGCAGCTTGCCAGGCCTCTTCTCCTGTGGAGCTGCTGAGTGGGTCTGAACCTGAGTGCGTAACCACTGCACCACCAGACCCCACATATATTGCTACTATTAGGTGCCATCACCTTATAGCTGACCCTCCAGCAGGTTTTCAGAGGCTGTAACCCACACAGGTGGATGTGACCCTGTAGATGACTGAAAATACTGCTGACTAACAAGGAAACATGGCCCAGATGGGCTCACTCAGTGATTCCCAACTCAGGCTATGTTAGAATCACCCAGAGAATGGAAAAACCCTGAAAATCAGATGTCCTGGTGTCACCCTCAGAAACTGATCTTTCTAGGGTGGGGTTATGGGGGTCTAGTGTGGATAATTGATTATTTTATGGAACACCTGGCAATAAGTGTTTATAATTATGCGTTAAAATATGCAGTGTATTCCTGTGCATGTCAGTCATAGGAGTTTTCACTAAAATGAGAAAGGTAGTTATTTTTATTAATTTATTAATTTTTCACAGATAAACTGGAAATTCTTTTTCATTCATGTTCACTTTAAGTCTGACAAGTATGAACTTCTCATTTTTTTGTATTTCGTTAAAAACTTGTTTTTCAGCTATTATTTTACAGTAGTACTCTAGTAATAACAAGGACAAATACACTTTTCCCCATAAATTATATTGTTGCTCTAGCTTTACATTAAAATGTTATAATGGACTTAAATATTATTAACAGTTGGATAGATAAATTGACATTGTAGTAGCCTTTTGAGTGATGACTCATGAATATTTGTTTCTAAGTTGAGAGGAAAGAAGTGTTATCCCAAATGAAAGGTAAAGGACTTTACACTTTGTTAATAATCTTTGAGAACAAAGGACAAGTATTTTTTTTTTAATTTTTAATCTTATTAATTGGATGTTTTTGACTTTCAGAAACTCACAGAAGAGAAATATCAAGTGGAACAATGTGTAAATGAAGCATCTATTATAATTCGGAATACAAAAGAACCCACGCTAACTTTGAAGGTGATACTTACCTCTCCTCTAATTAGGGACGATTTGGAGAAAAAGGATGGAGGTACATGAGTATATTTTCTTTTGCTCATATAAGATTTCTGTTGAATGCTATGTTACTATTCATTATAGATTTAAGAAATAACTAAGCTTCATTTGTCTTAGGCTATCTATACTGTTTTAGATGGCTTTGTTTTGATATAATCAGTATCTTTTGCAGTAATGTATAGGTTAAAAATATGTTAATTAGAAAATTAACTTATGGAGCTACTCTTTATTTTCATGTTTTGGTTTTCCATTTTATTTTGTCTAGTGTTACATTCTGTTATTGGTATTAACCATCCTATACAGTTCTGTTTAATTCGATTTAATGGTCAATTTCATGACTTAGTGTAGTTCAAAGTAATATTATTTCCAAATATATTCCTTTAATTTTTTTTAAGGTTACTCACATATTGCCCTTGAGTTCTGATAAGCATGCATTATATAACCTTGTAAATTTTATTCACTAGTTTCTCAGGTGTATGTTTGTCTTGCAGATTTAGCAGTATAAATTGAAAGGAATGATATTTCTCCCCCAGTAATTTTATTTCAGTAGGCTTTTGACTGTGTTACGATTTTGAGTGGGTGTGTGTGCACGCATGTATGCTTGTGCAGTTACCATGAAGTTGGAATCAACTTACAGCTGACCCGTCAGTGGATTTTCAGAGGCAGGAAATCACATGGAGGCGATAGCTTGTTTTCTTTTTACCCCTGTAGAACAGCTGATGGGTTTGAATTGTGTACCTTTAGGTTGGCTGTATAACTCCTTACCACTAAGTGACCAGAGTTTTGTGTGTGTGTGTGTGTGTGTGTGTGTGTGTGTGTATGTGTGAATTTTGCATTAATAATTTCTTTCTCTTACAGGTACAAAGAATTACTGTAATGCCATTTTTGCAAAAGGAATAATCTATTCAATAATTAGTATTGAGAAAGATTGATTGAACTATGCTAGACTTCTTTTTTAATGTATCTTATTGTTTCTGCCTCTTAATCCTGTCCTTAGAAGCTTGCTTTATGATATTTATTTTGTGTCAGAACTTTGACCAACTAGCTAGCCACTCTTGGTCATGACAGTTTTGCAGTAATTCAGCCCCTCTGAGCCAATGGGGACTTCCTGTTGCTATTTTTTCATCATTAGATTTCACCAAGCCCCATTGTTTCCTCCTCTACCAGAAATACCAGTGCAGTAAGAAATATTTGTCAGTGCCTAGCTTATTTCAGATTGGTTATAAGGGTGAATAAAAACATGTACTTATAGAGGTAGGATTTAGAGGTTAGCTGAGATGACTCATAGGATTGCTTAGAAAGTGATAAGACTTCTTATAGAGAATACTTTTTGAGCTCACTGAATTATTCCCTATATTGTCCTAGTAGATATATGCCATACACATTTCAAATATAAGTCATATTTGAAAACCATTATACTTCAATGTGTAGTTGGCTTTATACCTTTATGTTGGGTTTGTTTTTTTTTTTTTTTCTGCATATACTATGAGTAGTACCTTTCAAATTGGCTTAAATGGCTTAATTTTTTCAACAGCTTTACAGTACACCATTAACTGTAGTACTATAAAATGATTTCTGCAGTATCAAGATAAATGTTAATTCTGGTAAGCTGTATTCTACTTGACCCTCTAGTGTAAAACCAAACCATTTCTAAGTATAGTTATAATTATAGATATTATTAAAAATTATTTGAGTTAGATAAGAAAACTGAAGCTGTTGGCCGAAGATTAGGTTAATTATACGTCTGCTTATAGCCGTATGCATTATTTCCATTGCTTCTGTGACAGTTTTAAGGGAACATCAGGCTTCTGTGTTCCTCAGGTTTTGTGTGCTTACATGGAATTTTGTCTTAGTTTTCAGTGATACCCTTAAGATAGTCTTTCTCATGAAAACAAATTCTTAGTGCATCACATGCTTGTCGGAACACTCTTTTTTACAGAGTGTAATTCGTAATAAAATAGAGTAATAGTATTTCTGTTTAAGGTGCTTGGGTTACTAAAGGATCCAAACATCTTTCATAAACTGGGCATCATAAGGTGATGCTACTGTGAACTAGGTAAAGTAAAACAATCAACTTGTATGGTTTTACTGACATTTTCTCTCTTTGAATAGCAGAAAGATTTGCCTTACCTTTTATTTGTTGTTTCTAACCTTGAAATCCTCTTGACTCACATGCATTCTTTCATGGTTGGCTCATTTTGTCTACTCTAAACTTAATGAAAAGGAGTCTTTTATTTTATACTAGCTATTTTATACAATCTGGGCAACTTCAAACAGTTGAGAGGTGGGCTGTAGAAGTCTATAGAACTTTTTCTTTTTTCTAGACTATTCCTTAATCCCTTAATACAGTTCTTGTCACTACATGAGATTAAATTACAGCACAGAATTTACTTTTATTCAAGAAATTTCTAAGACTGGAATATAGTCCTTTTTTAGTCTCATTCATTTTCTTTCTGAAGCTGACTGTTGGAACTTTTTTCTTTGATCTCTCATATTTCCCTTACCTTTCATCAAACTATTTGTGAAGCATGTCTCACATTTTGCTTCTCATTCTTTTTTTTCTTCACATTTGGGTAAAATCTGTAAAAGGAATAAAAAGTATGATTGAAAACAGACAGAACCAGAGCACTAGGAAAGGTGAAAGCTTTGCATTTACCCCCTCAGACTAGTTTCGGCAGAAAGGAATCTTATTAAATGCTTATTTCAAATATTATATGTTTTAAATTGCATGAGTATTCAGATGCTCATGTGTATGTTTACTATTTCACAGGAAAGTTTCCTCCTATGCTGTCAGTTTTCTTTACACATGTAATACTTCCAGACTTTGTAGAATAATTTGTTATGGTATCTTTCTAGCTTAAAGAAGGCACAAGAGAAAAAGAGTTTGGTTCCTGACAGGCTTTTGTTTGATTCTTAACTTTTCTAGTTCCTCTTGCTGTGCCAACTTGGACAGGCATTTTTTTTTAAATGTAAATAATATGTACCTCAGAAAGTTGTTTTGTGGGAATTTATGTAATAAGACTTGTACCCAATACAAATAAATACATAATTGTAGTTGCTCAGCTTACATAAAAGATTCACAGATCATACGCAACCTCAAATTGTCATGACTTAACATTCAGTATAGTTTGTTCAGAGAGGTTCTAAAGAACTGAATTTGAAGATGGTTCAACTTTTTTTTTTTTAATAGGAATAGTATTTTTTTATTATTAGTTTTAATGAAAGTTTTCAGAGACTTTGGATATCCATTCATTGTTACACTTTTCTCCCTGTCCACTCCTCCCCCTAATTTGCTCTTCTCTTTGAAAAGGAAAAATTCTTTGTTATACATAAGTCCCTCACCCCAAGTTCACTCCACTATGCTGCCTTCATTCTGGACTCCTGTCATGACAATAATACCTAATCATATATCCCTTTTAAACAGTTTGCTCCCTCATCTGTTTCAATGCAGTATACATTATTTATACCCTCTTTCTCGGTCTCTCCCTAACCCCCATGTCAGTCCTCTTTTATAACAGTGGAACTAGGCAATACTTGTCTTTTTGTGACTGAGATATTTCACTCAGCATAATGTCCTCCAGGGTCACCCATTTTGTATAATAGTTCATGAGTTCCTTGTTTTTCAATGCAGCATAGTATTCCATTGTGTGACAGTACCACAGCTTCTCTATTCATTCGTTTGGTGATGGGCACTTAGGTTGTTTCCAAGTCTTTGCTATTGTGAACAAAGCTGCAATAAACATGAGTGTGCATTATGATTCAACTTTTAAAAACCATCTAAGTGTGGTACTCGATTGGTGCATTAACTGTGGTGTGAATGAAGAGCTGCTTGCTTTAATGTATAGCTTATGATTCATTGAAGGTGGTTCTCTTTTTCATTCCTTTATTCCTAGGATGTAGCATTCTGCTTATTATATGGCAGATTATTTTTTCTAAGTCTTAAATGTATTTAGATAACAAGTATATTGCTTGATATTTTTAAAATTATAATTTAACTAATATGTAAGAAGTATATTAACAACCATCACTTTAGAACTCAAGTAATATACTTTGAATACTAAGCTCTGTAAGGTATTTTATGACCTACTGTGTAGCAAGCACTTCTTCATACATTACTTATGTTAAGCCTTACAATAATCCTTTGAGATAGATAATTGCTGAACTTAAAGATTTGTGAGGGAAAGCTCATCTTTCATTCATCTCTGCTTTCTACTTTCCAATTACTATCAGAGACAAATATATGAATTCTTAATTGTTAACTGTTAATTGTTGTTGAGTCCTCTATGACTCATAGGGATCCTATCAGCAACGGCTCTGAAACTTGCCCTGTCAAAAGTCAAAACAACTTCTCATGCTTGAGATTTTAAACCAGCAGTGTATTTAATTTACTGCTGAGGGTAATACATTAACTTTTCATTTTATTTGTAGTGGAACTAAATCCAGATGATTAGAGAAACTACAGAGATGCCTGTGGCTTAGTGTCAGATCTCTGTCCTTGTGTCTGGGGTACATTTTCAGAGGTTCCCAAGAAGTTGTGTGACTGTAATTTTATGTTTATTGGTATTGTGTACATGAACGAAGACATTTTGACGGAAGTTCTACTTGTATTGATCTGGGTCCAGGCGGTAGATTCTCACAGTGATAAAAACACACAACTGTAATTATGATGGTCCTGTGCAGCTTTATTTTTCTATCTTCCACAACACACAGTTGTTGTGTTCTGTCAAGTCAAAACCAACCCATAGCTAACACTCCGTCGAGTTTTCAGAGACAGTTAAATTGTAGAGGATGAGATTTCCTATCATTCTCATGTGGAGTATTTGGTGAATTTCAACCAGTTGCCTTTGGGATCACTGCATAGCTTCTTCCCACTAGTGCTCCCTCCACAGCTACTAGTCTGAAGCAACCCTTAGCCATGTTTCCAGTGGTTAACTTCCTAGTGAGGCATTGAAGATAAGTCATATGGTCCTAACATAAATTAGGAGGATAGTGCGTGTTCTCTTGCTCTCTCTTGCGCGTGTTTGCACACTGTGTGTGTGTGTGTGTTTCTGTCTCTCTCACCTTATTATGCATTTAATTTATTGGTTCTGTTGTTTTGCTTGGGAGTTGACTTGGAGTGTAATGCCCCCATCTCTCGAAAGTTTCATGGAATTGAGCGTGAAGAAAATGGCATAATAACGTCAGGCTAACTAGACAATTCTGTCATCATGAACTCTGTAGTTTAACTTCATCCAGATTGGAAGAAACACCTCATGATAATTCAGCTTGATTATTTTACCTTTAAGGAACCCAAGTTCTGGACATAAGCCCTTTTTTTTTGTTTTTAATTGTTTTTGGTGAAGCATTCTTCTAGGTCATATAGCCCTGGCCTGTTCACTTGCTGTACAAAGGTAAATCGTGGTTGCTGTGAAGCTGAACACTGTAACACTGATGTGTCAGATGTGATAATGGTCACCCATGACGGACAGTGTTTGGTGGAACTCCTCGATTAAAACAAACTTGGAAGCAGGAGTGGCATCCACTTCTGAAATAGCTTTCCTCTGGAAACCCTATGAACCTGGAGAAAGGAGAGAAGTTATACAAGTGTTCAGGTCTTTTGTACTATGCGTCGCCTATGACTCAAGGACTCATTTAACAATAACAGAATTACAGAATTTGAATACATTGTTTTCCAGACCAAACTTCCAATTTCCCTCACCTGCCTGTCACTAGTTTTTGTTGATAGGGACATAGATAATTTGCATATAAGGGATTGAGAGAAACTGACAAACAATTCCTGCATTGTGATGTGATAGTCTGGTTATTTATCTAACCTTTAGCCAAATAAACAAGGTTAGGCACAGTGGACTTCTTTTCAGTGCTTCCATTATTCAGAATGCTGTATGTACCTTCATGCCCTGATGTCAGGTTACTGAAATATATATAAAGTCTTTTTCCTTTGGTATTTGCTTTTTTTATTCTTCCCCAATTCGGTTTTTATCTGTTTTACTGGTAATAGAAATAGGAAAAATGGAAAGGTTCATAGTTGAATTGGTTCTAATTAAGGACTCTAAGATACCTTTTCCTCACCTTGGAAAATCTGCCCCCCCCCAAAAAATGGAAACCTATGCAGAGTTCATCAAGGGATATTAAAGTTGCAGTTTTGCTATCAGAAGTAGCTGTTTTCACATCAACACTTCTGTGATTGCTAGATTAAGAAGTTTTATAAAAAATGAAAATATACTAAACTGTCTATTTAGGAAGTAGGCAAACTAAAAGTATTAATGCTGTTGTTTCTTGCTCTTCACCATTGTGTTAGAACTAACTGCTAGCAGACCTTCAGTGGGTTTTCAGAGGTTGTATATCACCTAGGAAGAGATTGCCCATTTTTTTTCCTTGGAGCAGTTTGTGGATTCATACTGGTTGCCTTTGGGTTGGCAGTGCACCTCCTTATTCACTAAGCCACCAGAACTTTAGGAAGTGTATATGTTGTTGTTTGTTATGTTATGTACTGTTGAGTTGGAACTGAACATAGCTGACCCATCAGCAGATTTTCAGATGGAGTAAACTGCACGCAAGGAACTTGACCTTCTTTCTCTTGCGGAACAGCAGGTAGATTCAAACGGCATGTCTTCTAGTTGACAGTGCAGCTCCTTACTAGGCCACTAGAACTCTCTCCTGAAATATGAGTGTGTGTTATGTTTTGTACCATCATGTCGAAACTGACCCATAGCTGACCTTCCATCGGAGTTTCAAAGGCTGTAAATTGCACAGGAGCAGATTGCCCATCTTCTGAGAAGCAGCTGATGGATTTGAACCACGTGCCTTTGAATTGACAGTGCAATTTCTTACCATTAGGTCAGCAGAGCTCCCTACTGACATACAGTACCGTCAGAAGTAGTACTGTCAAAACCCCAAAAGCAAATCCCATGCTCCCTAGTGTATTCTGATTAGAGTATTCCAGTGTATTCTGACTCTTAGTGTTCTGCGGGCAGGCTTCCAAGACTCTCAGTCTTTGTTGGAGGAGGCTGCCTCAGTCTGTCCTTTTTGAAACAATTGGTGTATTTGAAACACCAACCTTTTGGTTAGCAGTCCAGTATGTAACAAATTATGCCACCAGGGTTCCTTAAGGAGTTTAGTGGCATCATAAATAGGAATATGTGTTGTTTCAATATCAGAAACCTTGAAGAGCTACAGTGAGATAAATTACAGTATTTCTTCTGCTATTTGTGCTCCCTTATGAATATTGAAATATTTTGGATCTCTTGACTATCAGAGCATGAAGAAACATGGTCATTCTGCTGGTGAAGGAAAAGGAATCTGGTGCAAGTCTTCTGTTCTCTGCCTGTTTCTTTTGTCTCTTTAGTAGAATCTCTGCCTCCAAATGTTGACTGACTGTAGCAAGCTGATGTCCCTGTGTTGTTTTTCTAACAAGGGTCTGTGGCTCTGTTTTGAATTTAGATGAATTTATCTAAACATTTTCACCATTGACCCTTTTAAAAATATATGTGTCAGAAAGAGTAAAGTATTGTTTAAAAATGCTGGCCACAGAATAAAAGTGCCAGAAAATACAAAAAGACTCAGTTTACCTTGTCTTTTTTTATCGAGACTTTCTTCTACCCTTTCTTCTATCAGGCACCCTCCACTCCCCATATCCCTTTGGTAAGGTGATAGAATAAATTTTAGCTTGCCTCACTGTTAATTTAAAAATTTAAGTGTCCAAAAAAAGAAAATTCCATCCATTTTCTTGGGATTACATAACAGCCAGTCAACCTTTGTCATGTTTAACTTTGAAATTATTCTAATCATTCATTAGTAGTTATTTTTTGAAATCTGGTGTGTGAGCTTTACACAGATACTTGTATTAACCACAGTTAAACATTTTGCCATGGAAACTCTAAGCAAGGTGTATATTTAGTGTTACTGCAAAGATAAAATTAAAACCAAGAATTTGATTATCTATAATTTGAATGCCTATATCATACTTGTTTTATGTTTATAAGTAAATCTACATTCTTGTTAAGACTTTACATTGTATGGGAAAAGAGGGTATAGAAATGATATCCTTTGTTGCATTTTATTAGTAGGGGTTACTGGGAAATAGTGCAAATATCTGCTGTAGAGCTCACCTGATCACTTGGTCAGAAAATAAGTGTATAGCACTTCAGCCTTTAGAGTATTAGAGCCAGTAAAAAGAACCATAATTCTTCCTCTAATAGATTTGATTTCTTCTGAGCATTATGCTTCTAGATTTAGTTAGTGATTTTGGTATGTTAGAAAGTATAATTAGTTTGCTGTTTTAGAATCCTCAGGAAACTAAAAGCATAAGTAGTAGTATTTCCTATATTAAAACTGCTTGTATTATATCAATTGGTACACAGAAACATACTATCTAGTATATTGCTATTATGCTGAAAAAGTATTTTAGTGGACTTTTCTATATTTAAGAGCATTATTGAAAGAAACTAGTTTAATTAGATTAGATGCACAACACACAAGTGTCTCTTGGATTCGTTCCCCAAAAAAATGCTTTTGTATTGTATGTGTTTAAATAGTGCCCCAAGTCCTCAAAACAAAAATGTATTTTCTACTGTCTTAGATGAAATCAGTTTGTCTTTCTAAACTTGAGTTTATATCAGGTAGTATTTTCTCCAGATATGACTGCTTGTCATTAAAAATCACATGTTTGCATTTTTCACTGTTGTGGCTTTTGGCCATTTAAACCATTTTTAAAATAGAAATATTTAAAATGTTTCTTTGCTGCTTTTTAGTGAGAAGTATTTAAAATTTGATATGTTTTATCTTTGTAGTTTTAATAATTTGGTTTAGAAAATTAATGAGAAATTACATGATGACACTTGAGTAATTTATCTTCTCATTATTAAAGCTTATTTTGTGGTCATCTTTTGGATGAGTTTGTTTAGTTGGGTTTTTTTAGAATGCGTTCTTAGCCAGTATATCGCAAGTTGATTATTACATAAGAAAATCCATATTTTCATTAGGAATTGATGAGTAATTAAATCCCTTCTATTAAAGAAAAGTTGTTATTGCTATTGGTCCTACATTTTTTCTTTCCTCCCCCACCAAAGGAAAAAGTGCTATGTACCTATTTTGTGCCCTATGATGCTACACATGGTTAATAAGATCCCAGAGTGTACATTGTCCTGGTCATTGATTTGCTTACTGATCTGGTTGTATACAGAACTACTGTAATGATTTTAAACATTAAAAAAAAAATCTTTGTGTATATAATTGAAGAATGAAAAAGCAAGGAAGCCAAATTATGACATCTTCTGGGATTCTTATTAGTTCATTCAGATGCTGATATTCTTTTTATTTTTATTGTTTGATAATTTGGCAAGAATCCCTTGGTCAAATTGTATCTGTCTTTCTTTATCCCATTTTACCATTAGAAAATGTTGCGATGAAAGATCCTCCGGACTTATTGGACAGGCAGAAATGCCTGAATGCCTTGGCGTCGCTTCGACATGCCAAATGGTTTCAGGTTGGCTCTTTGTTATTATTCTACTGTTAATGTACCTGTGCAGATTTCATTTAGATCACCTGCCATGTAATTGTTTCTGTGTAAATAAAGGATATAGGTGTATTTTGTTCTCCAGTATTAGTATTGTGAGAGTTAATTAACTGAGTCCAATTAGGTCAAGTACCCACTGTAGGCTTTTGCATCGCTAATGATATTTTATTACCATATAATTCTTTTTGGTTTACTACTCTAAAATTTCAAATAATTGGTTTTCAGATTTCCTGGAGTGGGATTACTTTGACTATAAAAAACAATTTTATGTTCTTTAGAATCTGCCTTTGTACACCAAAATTTTATGACGTTTTTATAGTTTTATTTTTGGTTTGACTGAATGGCTAGTTTGTATTCACTTTACAAAACCTAACCATGATTGATATTAGTGTGCTTAATGTAAGAATGTTTTTCAGCAGAGATACCGGAATCATTTTGTTTGTTTTAGGCAAGGGCAAATGGATTAAAATCATGTGTAATTGTCCTCCGCATTCTGCGTGATTTGTGCAACAGAGTTCCCACATGGGCACCATTAAAAGGATGGGTAAGTATATAAATAGGGTTAAAAGAAAATGCTAGAGATGTAGTTAGAGGAAATCCTATAGGAATTACATATCATTGTAAAATGATTGTATTCTGTATTAGGTAAGATGTGCAATATTTACTTTGGCTCGTGGGGAAAATTTATTATTTTTTTTATGTGAATTCTGTTTTGTGTGAGTATAACCAGTCTCTTCTGTTTTATCATAGCCATACTATAGAGCCTGAGATTTTTTTTTGAGATATTGTTATGATAGGGATTTTTCTACCTTTTAGGAGTGAATATCTTTGTGTATATATTACTCTATATAGATGGTTGATTACTTACTGCTCATGGAAGCTTGCTTGACTGGCAGAATTATCTTTTAGTGCCTATTTCGATTTTACATAAAACTATCTGATAAACTAATAGTAGCTCTTTCAGCATTTTTTCCCCTTTGTTTTTGAGTGACACTTAAAAAGAAATTAATGTTAGTAGTTGAAGTCAGACAGTTTATTTGTTGTAATTTAGAGTATATAGTGTATATTGAAAGCCATAGTTTGGAAATTGTTTTATCTGACCCAATAAAGACCTCAACATTCTAAAGCAACTTAAATATATCTCTAAAGATAATTTATATATTAATCTAACAACTATTAGTTGGATATAATTTATTCAGTTATAATGGAGATTTGGGGTTTTGTTTGTTCTGATTGGGGAGGGAGCTGTGTGGCCTAATGGTAAGAAGCTGCGCTGCAATCCCAAAGGGCACTCAGTTCCAATTCACTAGCTGCTCCACAGGGGAAGGATGGATACTTTCTTCCTGTGGGAATTACTGTCTCTGAAAATCTGCCAGAAGGTCAGCTGTGGGTCAGTTCCTACTTAACAACCAACACAACAATTGGGGTGGTCTTATTTTGAAATATTTATGGTTAAATGCTTCATTTTGAGTGAGATAAGTGGTCTGACCGTGTATTATGACTGATATTGGTTATTACTAACTTGTATGACTTTTTAAATCCTGTTAAATCAATTAGATAAACATAGTTTCTTTAGTAATCCTCTAGGGGTAAGTGAAAATAAAATTTTTGACCAAAAATGTCTTCTGAATATGTTATCCCCAAAATGCTCAGTTTAAAAAACTCTCTCTAGGGTAAAAGTTAATTATCAGTTATCCGGGGCGGGGGGGGGGGAGTTATGTGAATTTTAAATTTACTATGAGTTTTTGGTCTCACTTTTCGATAGCATTGTCAGCTCACATTTAACTGGAATCCTTTTAACACTTGGTGCATGTACTAATTTGTAATTTAATATCTTCTAGCCACTAGAGCTTATATGTGAAAAGTCTATAGGTACTTGTAATAGACCTTTGGGCGCTGGGGAGGCCTTGAGACGAGTAATGGAGTGTTTGGCATCTGGAATACTACTTCCTGGTAAGGGTTTCAAACTTTGGAGGCAGAAGAGAAAAATTTTATTTTCGTTTATTTTTCTCATTATCTGCTGCATTTGTCCTCAGTACAGGAAAATGATACATGGAAATGATTTTATACGGAGTTTTAAGCAATTAGAATGTTTGAGTATTGGAAAAGTGTTATAAAATCTCAAAATAATTATGTTTTATATGTACTAACATAAAGGTACTAATAAGATATTTTGGTCTGCTGTGAGATTGCTTTACTTAGAACTCTCTTAATTTGAAATTATAGATGTTTGGTTAAAATATATGAAGTACACTGTGTTGCAGTCTGGTATTAAATTTGAACAAATTAGATTAAGTCTTATAATTGTATGTAATCCCTTTATAAATTTGAGGTAATTCATTATTCTGTTTCTAAATTCTTGGAGTAAACCTCAGGTTTGCTAACTATGCAGGTGACTTCCAGTAAATAAGGACATTTAAGTGCTAACATTGAACATGAGGTTATTCTTTTTATTCTATTCAAGTAGAGCTTTAACTTAGTTTTTATTTAATTCCTGCTTTCATTTAGTTTTTATTTAATTCCTGCTTTCTCTTTCTCTATTTTGTGTTAACTTCTCAAATTCCAAGCTCAATTTTAAATACTTATGTTTTGCCTTTACTAAAGGAGGTCCTGGTCTTCATGACCCTTGTGAACGAGATCCAACAGATGCTCTGAGCTATATGACCGTTCAGCAAAAAGAAGATATTACCCACAGTGCACAGGTATAACACTGGTCCTGTTTATCACTGTGATATGTTAGAGAAGTTTTTTTTAAAACTTTTTTCCTGCATTCTTCTGTATAAACACTTTTTCTTGCCTATTATTAGACTCTTGTCAACATAGTATCAGCATTTAATGACTTTTTTTTTAGATAGCTGTTCTAAGTGCTTTATGGCTATTGACATTTTAAAATCATGTTTTGTTCTCTAGCATGCACTCAGGTTATCAGCCTTTGGTCAAATTTATAAAGTGCTGGAGATGGACCCCCTTCCATCTAGTAAGCCTTTTCAGAAATATTCCTGGTCAGTCACTGATAAAGAAGGTGAGTGTGTAAGATTTAATGGATCTGGGGGATGGCATGAAATGCTTCTTTTGTTAGAATTTAAAAAATATAATAATTGCTAATTTAAAACAAGGGTATGAGGGGAGCTCTGGTGGCCTAGTGGCAAGGAGCTGCAACTACAATCCCAGAGGCGCAAGGTTCGAATCCACCAGATGCTCTGCCGGGGAAGGAGGGACAATCTCCTCCTGTACCAGTCGGATCTGGTTTGATGGTACACTCACACAAAAATAATTAAAAAAATGGAAAAAAAAAACAAAAAAAAAGACAAGGGTATGAAAGTTTATTGCTTTCTTCTTTTGTTCTTTTGTCCCCATCAGTAATATCACTTTGCTGTCATTTCTTATTAGTGGAAAGTTTACTTGTTTGTGTGGGGCAGATTCCATTCTTATATATAGACCATCTTTCACTTGAATGCAGGTAACAGAAAGTCCCAAGTTTTAGTTCTAATGATTCTCATGTATTTTATTCCCCCATCTTATTATTCACAGGGTAGATTTTTTAAAAGATTTTTTTTCATTCATTGTTGCACATTTTCTTCCCCTAACCCCACAATGCATCCCTTATTCCAGGTTATTATCATACATATAATAACTAGTTATGTATTCCTTTTGGACAGTTCTTCTCATCTAATCTGATGCAATATTCGTTTCCTAGCCACTGTTTTTTCTCAGTCTCTAACCCCACTCCTATGTCTGTCCTATGTTATAAGAGCAGTGTTGTACAGTGTTTTACCTTTTAATAACTGAGGTGTTTCAGTCAGCATAATGTCCTCCATGCTTACCTATGTTGTGTAATGTTTTACGAGTTCCTTGTTTTTCAGTGCTGTGCAATATTCCATTGTATGAATGTACCACAGGTGTTTTTGTATGAGTTTTTTTGGTTTTTTGTTTTGTTTTGTTTTCGTTTTTTAATCTAGTCATTTCAGTGAAATGGAGCATGTAAAGATTGATATCCTAGGCACTAGTAAGCTGAGATAGACTACTGTTGGCCATTTTTTAATCAGACAGTCTTATCATCTACTGTGCCAAGAATGACAGTTGGAGAGTAATGGAGTCATTTTTAGCATCAAAAAGTATTTTAAGATCTATCCTGAAGTACAGTGTTGTCACTGGCAAGATAATATCCATGCCTATTCAGATCTTCTATTAATACAACTTGTATTCAAATATGTACACCGAGTACAGAAGCCAAATATGACAAAAATTGAGGATTTCCACTGACTTCTGCAGTCCGAAAAGGGGCATGCAATCAAGATGCATTAATACACCGCAACAAGATAAAGGTAAACAATCCAAATGAAAAATGGGCATAGGATATGAACAGACACTTCACCAAAGAAGACATTCAGATGGCCAACAAGCACATGAAGAAATGTTCAAAATCCCTAGCTCTAAGAGAGATG